CTATCTCTTTTCCCTCCCCGTTAAGGAATACCAGATCGTCGACTTTTTCCTGCCAAAACTCAAGGATGAGGTTATGAAGATCATGCCCGTGCAGAAGCAGACCCGTGCCGGTCAGCGTACCCGCTTCAAGGCCTTTGTTGCCATCGGTGACTCTGACGGACATGTCGGATTGGGTGTGAAGTGCGCGAAAGAAGTTGCAACTGCCATCCGGGGCGCTATCATCCTTGCTAAACTCTCTGTCATTCCCGTGCGAAGAGGTTACTGGGGTGCAGCCCTTGGTGAGCCCCACACCGTGCCATCAAAGGTTAGCGGAAAGGTCGGCTCCGTTATGTGCCGACTGATCCCTGCTCCTCGTGGTACTGGTATCGTTGCTGCTCCTGCATCAAAGCGTTTGCTTCAGCTTGCTGGTGTTGAGGATTGCTACACGCAGTCGAAGGGCTCGACTGCAACAATGGGTAATTTCTTGAAGGCCACATTTGCTGCTGTATGTGTATTCGAACTTTTTCATTGTGTTTCGCTTACATCTATTCTAGATTACGAAAACTTACGCGTTCCTTACTCCTGACCTATGGCGCGAGATTCCTGTATCAAAAGTGCCTTATGACGAGCACAGTGCTCACCTACAGCTTACAGCTGGCAAGAAGACGTACTAGTTGTAGTAGGTCTGGCTTCTATCATGTATTCCCGAAAAATCATATGCCCAAGTATGTTTTCCATAAACACCGCCGATGATAATCTCATGCGAGGTTCTGCTATTGGCTGCTTATGTAATTCAAAATTGTAGAAAAACCCTGAACAGAATTTTGTGACCGACCTCGAGGGTCTTGCCACGATTGAGCATCATGATCTGGGTTTGTGCTTCAGGCGACCTACTTGATCATATCAGGTCCAACTTGCAGCAGCTGGCGGAGACACTATTCACGCAGGCCCGACTGTCGCCTGCGAAATTCGGATTGCCGATCGATCACCGATCATCAAAGGCAACTCCGAGTCCTCGTCCCATGATTCACGCAACGAGCAGCTTAGCATTGCAGGACTGTCCGTGTCCGGTTCCAGCTACAGAATGACATTCAAACAGGCTTAATATTGACAGAGTGCGAGTATCGCATCATGACCACGACCTATCTAATTTTGTATTTGCTCCTCAACGGTCATCCTTCCTAGCGGGCAGTACTAGGGGTGATAATATTTTTTTATCAGAGCACAGTGGCTCGGTGCTCTGCCTCCGAGTAAGGCTTTCCGAATCATCGAGCGGGCACGGCGGGACCAGTAGAGAAAGATCTAATATAAAGCATGTTCCCAAAGTCCAGACCACGGTCCCGCCAGTCTTCTTTGTCCTTGCACTCGTCCCATTGGATTGAAGACGCTGCATTGCTTGACGGAACGGCATTTGATTGAATTCCAATCACCCCCGCAATTCGGCGCGCCAACAAAACTGATTCGTTTCAAAGGCCACAAGTTCATGTCCTCCTGCAGTGCACACGATACAAGTTTCTGTTGCAGCCTAACATATTTCTATCGTAATCTAGTCCGTTCGTACGTTCTGTTGACTATGTGAGTGTTCCCAATTGCTAGCATTGGGATCTTTCCTAATGATGATGATTAAAGTTGAACACCTCTACTCTATCACCAACGCTTCTCGTCTGGCATGTTGCCGACTAATCTTGTTATTCAATCGATGCAGGGACAACCCTGCTCCAGACCGTCCCGGCGAGTTTCACGTTCGCATTCCTATGATCAACCTCCAAACAGCGTCAACATTGTGTCACGGCGCCAAGGCTCTTCATCCTTCCCCATCCACGACCGCTTACCCTCAGATGCATCACATACATCGTGGTCGTCTGACCACCCTGTCTCCTCGGTACCGACTCTCTCTCCCACATCGACTTACAGGTTCGCGTATTCTAGATGGGGTTGTATTCAATACTAAAAATCACTTTGTATATCCGCAGCACGTTGTCTTGGTCTGGAAGTTCTCGCACCCAAGAACGACTATCACCCATAACCCCCGAACTCTTTTACTCGCCGTCGACCACTATCGCATCTCCTGAGGTGACACCTATTACCGCATTCCTTTCCGAATTCTATGAACCAGATTCAAAATCGGGCAGCGGTACTCGCACGCTGGTCCATTTATCTCGAGGCGATCCTCGACGACTGGATCTCTTCGGAGAGAGAGACAGGAATGGTATGAAAAATGCAATACTCACGGAATCTCCAGTCAGTTACCTGGCTGATGGGGCTAATCCGCCTCTTCCCGACGATATACACCTGATAGAGACACCAACACCAATACCATTGAGCGCGGCAAGCTGTGCGCATGGTCAGGGTTCAGGACATGAAGTTGACGTTCGCAAGTCTCGTCGCTTTTGCCGGGACTTTGGAGAGCCTGTCCCATCAAAGGACCCCATCTATGACGAATTTCCCACACATCTTGCAAAGGACTTGCCGACAACACCTTTGTCTTCCTCTCCCCCATCTCCGCTGAGTCATGACCTCCTACCCCCACCTTCACGTTCAGAGGTCTGTAACCTTTTCTCTGAGGACGAAACTACTGCCGTTAGGGAATTTTTGAGGATATGGGGTTCAAACAAGAGGGTGAAGAAATCTTCATCGAAGCTGCAGGTGATTGAAGATGAAGCCCCAGGTACTCAGGGTGATGATGATTATTCATGGGAGGCCGCAGAAGTTGAGGACGATGTTGGAGATTCCGCGTCTTGCAGCATGCTTCTTCACGAAGTTAGCGAGATGGTGGGCATCTCGCTTGAAACATCGATGGTGGAAGGCCAGTCCTCGATCGCATCCACACCTCCAGGGCTTGATACACTGGGTCGATTGATCCAGGATAGTCATGAGAGTTCACAAATCCTAGGCCTACGTTCGTCTTATCAGTCTGCCCCCCCAGACGGTGCCAACGTGTGCGACAGGACTTCGACGAGTTCCTGTCACCGTATGGATCCCCTTGACGTCGCACCTCGACATTCAGTAACCTCCAGTTTAGTCCTGGGCAGCAATCCTTCCATTCGTGAATATGCAGTAGCTGCCAAGCCGGTGGATGTACCTGTCATCGTAGCGCTTACCTCAAATGAAGCCTATTCGGCGAATTCCTGCGACGGCTTGGTTCCGGACCGACAACTAAGCCTTCGCAGGTCCAGGTCTACCGATGGCAACCTAAGGCGCCGCGGACAGATCTTCAACGTGGAGAAACAAGTCATGGGTGCTGTGCCTAGTGGCGTGGTTGATTCATGCACGTCCTATATACCTACGAGAGATGCGCCGCCGCTTCCACCTCTACCACCTCCCTCCGGATCTGTGAGACCTGTTTCGGCACTCGACAGGCTTGAGTCTAGCTTGTCAAGGCTCAAGGCGCACAATTCGCAGTCGCGGAAGTCCAGTAAAGCTAATGTGCCTTCAGAAAACCGAAGACCATCTCCATTCACTACCTCACGAGAGCGCAAGCATCACTCCAGCGTCGCCGCTCGTCTTCCGGACTCTCGTTCTGGACACGGACGTCACTTCTCGAGCCCCATGGCCGATGTGACAGCTCATCGGAACCATCGTAAGCCGCCTCGGGTTGAAACTGATCCCATCAATGCGCGCCTGAAGGAGCGCGATGCAAAGCTATATCCGTACTCGGAGAACCCAGAGTCGGCTATAAGATCATTCATGGAAATGGATGTGGTACCACCCCCGCCTCCCCCTCCTCGGACATCGAGATTGGGGAGAGTTGCTGCCAGATTGAGCCGGGGTATAACGAATTGGGGAAGGAATATCGGATCTAAGGGCAAGGAATCTTCATAGGGCTCGGTGTATACTGATTTGTAGCCATTGTGCGTGTGCGTTCTTTCGATTTGTCCTACGACTTTTACATTGTATGGCAAGATCTGGTAGCTATGTATCTAATGTGTATTTAGCTTTGTAACGTCCCCGATATCCTAATACTTTGACACGGATTACAAATCTGATTATAATTACCTGCCGAAATTCCCAATAATGTTTTCGTGTCTGTTCCCGAAGTCCTTCGTTGTTCTCCTCACCAACGCCGCCCTACCCCGATTCTCCTCCTACTAGTGGTTCATGCGTACCCCGCACTAGCACCATACCATCAGGTTTCTCGGATGGTCGGTATTGGCGCTCCGTATGTCACCGTTGTCAGCGACAATCCTGCGTCATTTACCCGCGTTAGAGGCGGCTTGCCAACATTCTTCAGCCTTTGTCCCGAAGAAGCGTACCCGTCCTGATTTTATCAAATTCCTTCTAATGCACTTCTGTTGTTTACGCGTACGCGCCGAGTCAGGTGCTGTACCTCACGAGGCTTTGTTTGCTCATTATTTCCCTTTTATCAAATGACCGTCACCCTCCCATATGTGCGTCATCTCGGGTTACATTGAAATGACGTATGGAGAGGTTCGATCGTATAATGACCTCCTTGCTGACCCAGATCCTACACTGAACCATGAGCCAGTCCGACCGGCTCTCGAGTGTACATACGTGATTGAGGTTTGTGAGGTGCTGCCACTGTCCGGGCTTCCAAGGCCCCCACTTAATAGGACTGATACTCATTGTGACTGAGCCAAGTTCTTCCCCGTCTTCAGGTAAATATCTTAATTCGTTCCCTTCATTATCCACTAACAGGGTACTAGAAGCTAAGGGGGCATTCGATACCTCCCCAGCAGGGCCAACAGCCACAAGACCTATCAGAACCAGACTCATCAGTTGGACCGCTGGAAGGAGGTTCGGCGCGAACGCTTTCACTTTGCTCTACACTGGTGACAAAAGTGTCATTATGGGTCCAGGCACTCATGATTCCAAGTTCAAGAACACCAGCGTCTACACTCTCCACACTCGCGGGAAGTGAGGCAGGAGGAGACAAGTTGTCTGGTGCGCTGGCAAACATTTTGAACGGAATATCTGGAATGTGCAGGAAACTAATAGAATAAAGGACGAGATGACACAATGATACCTTGACAGTAGTCAAGGCGCTACACTGTTGTATGTACATAAATGCAGTTGGTCCCGCTCTCTAACCTACTGCAACAATGAACTCTGTTAAATACCACTACCCCGTGATCGGCCGCAAAGGCACTGGAGGCATATTTGATCGCCTACCCATCCAGACGCTGGAGAAAGACCATCCCTACTGATTCGCATTGTTTCTTGCTTTCAATGCGATCCAGCAGCGGTCCGATGCTCCCCACGTCGTCAAAGAGCCTGCAGCTACCTTCATGGAAATTGCATCAATTCACGGCAAGTCCTATGTTGAATGGGCTGGTGACCGCAACGAGGATATCTCAGCTGACTATAGCTCCACTGACAAGAAAGATACCAGCCCTGTTCCTTCCAGATTCAGAGGTATGGCCGTCGTTTCCACCGTGGTTCCCCACAGCCTGACAGTATTGTGTGACAGGTTATTGTAAGTAAGTCAATACACGTCCTCTTGCTCTGTCGACCTAAAACCTTTCTTCAGCCATGGCGCCGTTGTTTTTCCCCACCTGGCATCGCTCATATGTTATGCTTATCGAGATATGTTCAACAAATACGGTTGTGCTTAACGCGCTGTTCAATTCCGTTCTATTGGGTTACAGCAATCGATCGGAAACATCGCTGAACAATTGGCCCACGACAATGAAGCGATAACCCGGATAAAAATGGAGTATGGATCAAAGCTGCTAAAGAATTGTGTTTTCCGTGTGTGGCAAATCATTCCTGACACTGATACAGACACTACATGCAGATACTGGGACTGGGCCGGTAAGGATGTACCAGAGAATGGCCTTCCTCCTGTTTTGTACGAAGAAAAAGTCGAAATCATGGCTACTGGAGGTAAAGAACAAATTGTCGATAATCCGCTCTCATTTTCCTCGTGTGTTGGCGGAACCCCAGCCGACTTCAGCGACGAGAAGGATGACCTGGTAATGTTACCTTAGCCTTTCCGGGTCACCAAACTTGCTCAAATGTTGTCTTTAGACAGGACAAGTAGCGTATTTCTCCAAGTGGCGAAGGACATACCGCTACGCTTATAGTACCCCAGACCCTGAAGGCAGCCGCATATACTTGTTGCAAAAGTCAGTATCGATGGAAACATGTTGCGCGAGGCCAGTGCTGATTTTGCATTTGTAAGGATGTTCAAAGCCTGAGCAAAAAATCTGAGACTCAGAGTCGCTCATCTCTTTACGTTCAACGATGATAGCGTACGTCTTACAATATTTAAGCATGAGATACCGCCGGCTCGGGCGCAATTGTGTCCACCACGTCATGCTGTGTCGCTGCACGTTGATAGTTTGGTCTCCTTTGTCTTTCCTATTTGCTCTTCCTTCATTCACTACTATGGCGACGTCCGCTTCATTTCATGGAGTTGTTGCAAAATGCAAGTCAGTATCAGATAACTTTTGGCGATACGACGGATTCATTGCTACTCCAGAAATTGGAGACATTCATGTCAATGTGTTCACATTACGAATGACGAGAATCCGCAGAGTCCTATTTTAGTTCGAACAGCTTAAAAGAAGCAGAGCACGCTGAATTGAACGGACCAGAGAACACGCCTGGTTATCTCGCGACGTTGACTCACCCTGGAGTACCTCCTCCGAATCGCCGACTCGTGATGCGCCTGTTGATGCGGCATATGTGACGCGGCACTGTGAGAAATCCTAGGGTAGAGATATTGCAGACATGCTACAGTTATTCCTACAGCACGTATCTCGCAGGCCCGAGGCTAAACAACCCGATCTCCTGCAGAAGTGTCTCAAGGAGGTTGCGCGCGTTCTCAACAAGATGCCAGCTGCAGATAGGTTTCATCCTTCTCGCATCAAGGAAGCCCTCGACAGCTTGTGAGTGCTCTTTTGCTGATTGAGGTGCCATCATGCTCATAGAGATTGCCAGCGCGTCGGAGCGAGTTGAAACTACATCCTACGGGTCTTTTGTTCAAGCTTCAAACATCGCATTTACATCCCTTGCAGGACTCCAAGTCAAGGGAATGCTTGATACGCCCTCAAACCTTGACATCATTTTTCAAGTGAACGATCATCCTATCCACCAAGATCACCAGGACCGCACATCGAAATGGAAGCCCGACGTTGTCATTCTTCCTTACGCATGCGCATTCGCTGGCTTGCCCGAGGAGAATCGCGATATGGGCGCCGATGATTACAAGCTCATCAGTGCAGCCACAAAGCCGAAAAAGAAACTCTTTTGGAAAGATGTGCTAGCTTGTATCGAGTTTAAGAGACCAACGAAAAAGCTTTCACAGTGTCCCCTTTCTTATGAAGTGGCGCCGTATAAGCCTACCCATCCAGAATATCGGCGCGTGGAACCTCCTGAGACCGGCACGCCTGCGATTGCAGCGGTAGACTCTGCCCAGACCCCAGCAATCCTGCCAGTACCTGATGCTGAACGACGTAAGTGGTGCATTTACGACCCGGGTGTTAAACTAAACCAGCTCAGCTGTACGACGTTCGTCTCGTCTTGCTGTAAGCTCTCAAAATCCATCCAACGACTCCAGCAAGCGCAAGGCCGCCGAACCTTTGGAATCCGCCAGCAAGCGCGCCAAGACTGACGACGACACGGAACCCGACCCCGGAACCCAAGCTAGATGTGACTGTCCAAACAGGGCTATACGCTGCCGAAATGTTTGCTGCCAATGTTGCTGTCAAACATCTTGTCAATCTCGTCGTTGTCGGTGTGTTATTTGGTCTTTTCATATCGGTCATGCTCTTATCATCGTCTTTATAAGGTAGGCGTCTTGCGGATTCTACGAACATCACGTGATAAAGCGTGATTTTGAGTGACAAAACACAGAAAAAAGGTTAACAAATCAACGAGGAAACGAGGACACAATCTGTAATGTCAATGGATAGAAAAAGCCTTTGCGAAGATTATGATATTTGCAGAATTTGCAAAAGTGCAGTTGTTAATTAGTTAACTTGATTTCTATGGATTTCCATTTTCCTGATGTCCTAGCGGAGGTCAAAGCTCGTCGACTCCGAAATGCAAGGCTGCCGTGAAGCCGACAGGCTCGTCTGAGGGCCCCAAGTTGGCATGGTTGACAAACCACAGTGGCGAAAATGTCGTGCTGCAGGCCTGAATGCATGGTGGGCATCAAAGCGACAAAGAACAAGCTCGGACTGCAAAAAATGATGAAAATGTGAGTAGTAACCAAACTTCGGAAGCTGCAACAGCTCACATCAAACTCGGCACATAGGGTCATGTTGCAGATGATGTCTGCAGTGCATCGAGCAAAGCATCCAATGGTGCAGCTTTGAGTATTGTTAGCAAGCCTTTCTCGCGAGTCCAAAGTACCGTGGCCATCGCGTTCTTCCAGAGTCCATCATGCGAGAGTTTGATCAAGTCTCCATTTAAGTTTTTTAGCATATTTTCATTGGTATATATCTCACATAAAGTGTTCTAATGTCTGCATTTGTATATGCACACTCTACAGTACTACCTACTTACTTATCCTCCTCGCCATTCGCTCGACATCTACCTTACTTTACTTATCCTCTTCGGCATCCGCTCGGCATAGTTAGCATTGACGCGTCACACTCATGTCACATCATGTGATGTTTGTAGAATCCGCATGACGCCTACCTTAGATGAGACATCAGGCATTTGACCAGAGTATGACAAGAATTTAGCTAGCTTTATTTAATGCATAATATCAAAAATATTTATCATAATTGTAAATCACATGATAAAGAAATAAATAGGCAGACTACAGTGGTGGGATCTCCCACTGCTATAATATTGACTGACCTATAGTACCAAGTTATGATCTACTAGCATATTGTTGTGTTATTGTCAAATCAATCTATGCCTACATAGGCAGCTTCCAATTGCAGAATATTTAATTACTGACAGTGTGCTGGAAAATTATACTAGATTATCATGCTGTAGCAAGATGCTGATTATTGCCCCAATATGTCTGGCTTTACATAGGCAGCTTCCCGTGGCAAGATCTGTAATTACTGACAGCATGCCAAGATACGACATTTAGTTGTAATACCACAACAAGTTGTTGATCTTCTACCAGAGACAGCTACTGTTATATGGGCAGCCTTTGTTGGTAGGATCCACAATTGCCGACTGTGTGCTTGGGCATGACACTTAATTATCATGCTGTAGCAAGATGCTGATTATTGCCCCAATATGTCTGGCTTTACATAGGCAGCTTCCCGTGGCAAGATCTGTAATTACTGACAGCATGCCAAGATACGACATTTAGTTGTAATACCACAACAAGTTGTTGATCTTCTACCAGAGACAGCTACTGTTATATGGGCAGCCTTTGTTGGTAGGATCCACAATTGCCGACTGTGTGCTTGGGCATGACACTTAATTATCATGCTGTAGCAAGATGCTGATTATCGCCCAAATATGTCTGGCTTTACATAGGCAGCTTCCCGTGGCAAGATCTGTAATTACTGACAGCATGCCAAGATACGACATTTAGTTGTAATACCACAACAAGTTGTTGATCTTCTACCAGAGACAGCTACTGTTATATGGGCAGCCTTTGTTGGTAGGATCCACAATTGCCGACTGTGTGCTTGAGCATGACACTTAATTATCATGCTGTAGCAAGATGCTGATTATCGCCCAAATATGTCTGGCTTTACATAGGCAGCTTCCCGTGGCAAGATCTGTAATTACTGACAGCATGCCAAGATACGACATTTAGTTGTAATACCACAACAAGTTGTTGATCTTCTACCAGAGACAGCTACTGTTATATGGGCAGCCTTTGTTGGTAGGATCCACAATTGCCGACTGTGTGCTTGGGCATGACACTTAATTATCATGCTGTAGCAAGATGCTGATTATCGCCCCAATATGTCTGGCTTTACATAGGCAGCTTCCCGTGGCAAGATCTGTAATTACTGACAGTGTGCCAAGATATGGCATCCAGTTATCATGCCACAACAAGTTGTTGATCTTCTACCAAAGATGGCTACTGTTATATGAGCAGCCTCTGGTAGCAGGATTTACAATTGCTGACTATGTGCTTGGGCATGACACTAGATTATCAAGGTGTAGCAAGGTGCTGATCATTCCCCCCATACGTCTAGCTTTACATGGGCAGCTTCTAATGGCAACATCCATAATTGCTGACACTGTGCCAGGGTTTGACATCCAGTTGTCATGCCACAACAAGTTGTTGATCCTCTATTAGAGACAGCTACCATTATATGGATAGCTTCTGGTGGCAGGATCTGTAATAGCTCAAAATGTGCTGGGATATGTTATTCGATTACCACACCATAGCAAGCTGTAGACCTTCCACCAAACACACCTTATGTTGCATGCGTGGCTTCTAACAACAAAATCCATCATTACTAACAATAAGTTAAGCTCTGACATTCAGTTATCTCGCTGCAGCAGGTTGGTGATATTTTTCTCAAGCATAGTACATACTTACATTGGGATTCTTATGTGATACAATGACAGAAGGATCAGCCAATTCATTCATAAGTGGCATTAGGATATCAAGTGTTAATACAGACACTGCGGTAACAACAACAATGAATTAAGTACTACCCATAGCGGCTCGTTCTCGAAGGACAGCACGTTTCTCCCGAATTTTAGATAGTGCGCTGTTTTTGCTTATACATCGCTGCGAAGAGGTAGAATTGGGGAAGATACGGCTGTAAAAGACATTGACTTGAGAGTTAGAGAGTGAAATTGATCACGAACCGTGTCCACCACGTCATCAAGTCAACTACTTCCTGACTTTCATCAGGATCTTCCAACAGATCCAGAATGCTGTGATAAAAGTTCTCGGAGTCTGTGACCGTGTCGGTACGCGAAAATACAGACGATGAGCTCAATGAAAACCGAATCTAAAGATTAATCAGTAGGCAGGCATAAATTGTCAAGTTTTCGACGCACCTGCGTGGCAATATAAGCCAAGGACCCTTTAGTTACAGACTTCATGCCGTGGAGATATGCATTTCCGGAGCGCGTTGCTTTTGGCTCCTTGTCCACGGAGCTCGGAGACGTAAATACGTGCTTGAAACCCTGCCGAAACAAAACCTTATAATGAGCGGTAAATTTATGGGCGAAAAACTTACAAAGATGAGTATCTCGTTCCTAAGTAAACCAGTCCAAGGATCTTCAGGGTCATAGACATACCCAGCATAAAGAAACATCGGCCACTGATCACCACGAACTGCAGTTTCACCGCTTTTGAGGCTCTGCTTGGTTCTGGCAAGTGATTTGATGGGTAGGTGATTGAATGGTAAAAATACTTACACTGGATTCGACCAGTCAAGGCCTGCCGGGCAGAGCAATGCGCCAGTCACTTCATGATTGAAGCCCCGGTCAGATTTGATATTTCGGGCAAGAGGCGGAATAAGTGGCTGTCCTCTAGGAACAAGCCATTCGAGGACGGCAGATTTAAGAGTCTTGGTGTCATCGCCTCGCGCACCAGACGCTCCTTTACCCATCTGCCAGAAGATGATTGTGATGATGACACTACAGTATCAAAAACTTACCAGTTCTCCCACGTGAATGATGTCCTCTTCTTCGTCATTCGTCAGGCGATCTAGAAGACCAGGGTAGGAATCTATTAATTCCACGAATACCCTGTGTTCCCGGCGAACACTAAAAATTGAAAGGGTTATGAGGGGGTACTGGCATTGAAACGTCAAAATTACACTTACTCCGCTGGATAATCCTCGATTGAAGAGTCTCGTAGTTCTTCGAGTCAGAGTATACCTGCGGTCAGAAGGGCAGGATAGTTGCACATTGCAAACACAGTGCGGCCAAAATGTCGACCATGCAGAACAAGGGGATTCGATGAAGTCCTTTTTGAAGGAGAGTCAGAACGGTAGGATTATAATAAGTCAAACACAACCTACGCCTTTTTACGCGGGCCCGAGCGGAGTGCCGAACCACTACGTTTGCGCGAAGGTTCAACAGACGGACGATTTTCATCATCACTCATGCTCAAGTTTAGGAAGAGGGAGGCTGAAATATCAATGGCTACATGAGACGGTTTATATGCCATCGGATAGGAAGTAGCGGAAAATTTAGCTTCCGTCCGCTGCAGATATCGTAACGGCATTGAAAGCGCGGTTCAATCATTATTCATTTCGGAACTGAAAAAAAAATCGCTATCCTGGCACCGACAGCGGACGGGTGCATTGCCTCAGATGACAGCATCGTACGTTTATACATAAGTCAAGTCGGCACTGTTGACACAATTATCAGCATCATGCCGAGTAGCCTGCCGACGCTGGACTCACACTCTCGAAAAAGTTTGCGACAATGCTTCCACGTCGAAAAAAATGTCACGTTCAGGTGACTTCTTTAATATGACATGCGCTACAAGATTTTTGAGCAGATGAACCTTACAGGATTCAACTGTCCTCATCAGGTGAGCTGAGAGGCATCAACGACACAAAAGACATACAAGTCGGCATCGATTGCAAGTGAGTAAGTTGATACAGATCTACTAAAGAGACTTAGCGTACAGGCAAATTCGTCAAAACAGAAATCTGATCGATATGGGGACACAGACTACAGGTGAGATTTAATATTTTGATGCGGGAAATTTGTACTAAAAAATCACCTAGTCTCCAACGAACAATGCATAAGTGAAGAATCCGAGCTACAACTCGTCAAGGAACACTTGAGGAACGCGGAAAACAATATTGCTTACCTTTCAGATAGGGTGATGACCTACAGAGATAGATGGCTAGAAGAATACTACCGCGCCGATAACCTCGAACACCACATGCCCTCTAACATCCACGTGGCTTACCCCCCTCAAATTCCGTACGGTGCTCCCTCTCCTACGTTCTTTTCCAGAAGCTTGGACGGTGATGACGAGTATTAGAGCTGGAAGAGAATAATGGCTTTGAGTTGAGCAGATATCACATCCGAGTCTGAACCATTAAGTAAGAATTTAGGATAAGAGAACGCACCTATTTTCTAACAAACGAGAATGTAAGGCTTGTCCGTATATCACGTAGTTAATTGGTTTCAAGTTAGACGTCCAAACATCAAGGTTGAAGATATTCTCAAAATTCAATCCCGTGAGTAGTATGCAGCATTGATCGTCACCTGATGGGAAGGTCAGGTAAAGGCTTAACCAAGGCGTATACTAATGATTTACCTGGTCACCGTTGGGCCCCAAGCATCGGAAGAATCATCCTAGAACTCCGGAAAATACTAAGGTTGTCCAGGTCAACAACTGAATGCTGACTCGCACTTGGTGTCAGAAGTAAGACCTACCAGTATAAATCACATACACCCATGATGGCTATAATGGTTCGTGATGACCGGGCTCCAGACCATCTGGGTTGGAACAGTAAAACCCTTGTGGATAGGAGCCTATACTTGAGGACAATAATCGTGTCACTGACAAGAGGCCAAGTGTCTCATGAATGAGACTTGCCCGTAGATATTCGCGGCACCCTACTACACGTCATAGAACTCAATATGACAGTCATCTGTAAATGATTCGACTTACCAATAATTGCGCCATTCTTCTCCCGGGTCGTTAGCGTTCAAGCGACGACAATACTAGAGTGCAGCTCGCGAAAGTATTCTGCTTGCGTGGCTGGTTCCTAGAAGTATTCATAGTCTTTACATCGCAATTGATGCTCAATTCAATCTAATGGGCATACTAAACGTGAGGATCACTTACTGATCGGAGGCCGCAACCTATCACATGTAAAGCTGCTATGATACAATGTAGTGCCCGCTGTGCTATGCCGCGGGGTTACGGGAGAATGTTGCAGCCCGGATGAACTGAATTCCGGAGGTGCAGGAAGTTTGTCATATCCCTCTGCCGGATCGGTCTGTGAGGGTTCGTTGGCGTCAGACTTTACATGACCAAGTTTATCACCTAACCTTGCAGGAGTGACAAGAATTGCTTCCGAGTTCGCGCAACACGGCCGTTCCGACGCTTCCACATAAGGAACGACTCCTGAGTTGAGGAAAATCATTATTATGTTCTGAAGTCCTCCGCTTTAGTAAAGACTTACGAAGTCTTTAGGCTCATAACCAGTCACTAAAGAACAGTCATCTCGATGTAGTACTAACTTCAACTAAATGATAACTAACTAACTAACTAACTATATGTCCAACGCTTCAGATAAGAAAGCTTCTCTATGCTCGAGACTCAAGAATCGATATTCCAATTATATATATGCGATAATCGAACATCGAACACAGAAAATAAAAAATGACATAGAATAATAGTAATAATCAGGCATGTGGTAACGGTAACATATCAGCAATGTGAGATGGAGGTTGGAAAGAAATTCTCTGAAAGAAATAACGCAGATGATATAGTGAATGACAATTCAGACTCAGCCGGAACTCAGCTCACTTAGTAATCGGGCATTTCCAGGCTGGGTCTGAATACGTAGTCATTCAGTATATCAACTGTGCGGCGCTTGCCGTGGAAGTCTCTTTTCGACTTCGATCATACATGTGCTGTGATTATTATTAAATCGTATGGTTGTATTTCATTAGAGTAGTACTAGTACGTGTTAGTTCAATTTGAGGCTGTTGCGGCTGCATCTATAACTAGTATTACTATGTAGCATTGTGTGGGCAGTGCGAGGCTGCAGGACTTGGCAAAATTTAATGTACTCATTGTCCAAAATTGTGGTGGGGCGGGCGGGATGTGACAGTTTGTTTACCCGCGCCATCGGTCCACAATGACCACAAAAGCTCATTGTGTGCGCCGTGCATGGTGCACGGTCCATAACACTTCACACCGTCAGAAAGTATGTCCACAATTAGTCATTCACTATAAATTCTGATCACGCACATTCGTAGGTCTTCTTTCTACTCTCTCTATCTACATCGATACCTAGTATACTAGTCGCTAGAAAAACATAGAATAGACCTTTGAATAGACTAAGCTCAAGTTATCGTCACAGTATGTTATGTTTTGGCTTCCTTACAGGGCATTAATGATTTAGAGTACAGGCAGGATCATAGTAATCCGATTGATGTCTACTACTGCTGGTACTAAACGTGCCGCACCAAGTGATGATGCACTTGAACCCGCTTTGAAGTGCACGCGAAACAGAACTTATGAAGGTAAGTCATGACTCGTAATATAACCCGGGCCATCGTTATTGTCATAGCTAAGTATGAACATCATTATACAGGCACTTCTAATGTAGCGCCATCGCCGCTGGCGAATCGAGGCGCATGGCGCATTCTAGCTCAATTCCTCAAAACCGAAATGAGTTATAGTGAGATGGAAGAGAAACTCTCATTGTACCTCGGCGATCAATACTCTGCGGACGATTGGAAGGATGCCAAAACAACGCTTTTCTCTGGCGAAGACAATGTCGGAACATGTTTGAGAAATCTCGAACTCTTAAGGCAGAGGTACATGCCCCGTCGACCCCGCCCTGTAAGTGGTTTTTTTCACATCTACTGAATGCATACTAAAGAATTGTAGCGGAAGAATATGTATCTCGACATTGAAGCAAACGAGGGAGACAGTGAAGAGGAGGAAGAGGAAGATGGCGACTACGACACGCAGGATCAGGTTGACTCTTCTGCTCGATCGCCGAAGGTTACGTCCATTCCAGGACCATCAGCCAAGGATACGTTATCCAAAAAGATTGATGAGATCTACAACAACGCGACAAAGGTCTCCAGCTCCTCAAGAAGCCGCATCTCTTACAGAGCCGCCTGGTCCCCCGCGACGCTCGAGAGTCGAATGTATCTGCTGCATGTCCATAGTATGTCTATTGGTTCATCGTGTACTATGTTCCTCATCACTTCCTAGGAACTGCTACGGTTTATATTGCTGAATATCTTCATGGTAAAGGATTCCCCGTGACCATGTCGCCTTGGTTGCCGGGGCAGCTCTACGTGGTCTCAGATAGCCCCAAAACCATTGCATCCTCCCTTCCGGCTTCGCATAAGCTCTCAGTAAAAGACTATCATCGCATCTCGGATGAAGAACGCGTCGCGGTGGAACACTCAACCATCAAATTTCCTAACCCTTCGTGGGTAAGAGTCAAATCTGGCATGTACAAGGGCGTCATAGGCTATGTCTTCGACCCAGACCAGTCGGACCTTTTTGTCGATGTCTTAGTCGTCACTCGAAAGTTTCCCTATCCAATGCCTGCGGGATCTGAAGCTCTGATCGACCATTCTCGCCTTCCAAAGGACAAGGAAGTTACCGATATCATTCGCAATGGCGAAATCATAGGATGCGCATACAAAGGACAGCGATACTACAGGGGACTGCTCCTTAAAAAATTCCACCGTTATCAACTAGAACTTGTTGCTTGCCCCCACGCTGATGATATTAGACTGCATCTGCAGTCAGGGTTTGACACACCCTTCGTCAAGAAATCTATCGTGGCGTTCTCCAAGCAGTTTCTGCGTGTGGGAGATGCGGTGTAGAGAATCATGCCTCTCATGGCGTGATATGGTAGTTTTCACCAAGGAGTATACAGCACGAACTCATAGCATTACTCTGTGCGCTACCCGCAGCTATCTCTATATGAGGCGCAGCTTTCCCACGCAACGCGCGCCATGCGCGCACCATTCCCGCGCTTCACGATGTATACGCGCGCACGTGTTCCCGCGCTTGCGCGCCCTATAGCGCCAGCCATCCAGATGCATCCATCCACTGTCCACCAAGCTCCCTAGTATGTATATTTCCATTTCCTTTATTAGCATAGTTCCACCTTTATTTTTATCATAGTTTCTCACTCATATATATTTTTACATACCTACTCGGTAGCGCTTTGGCTCCGCATGAGCGCGCTTAGGCGCGCTATATAAGTGCCAGCAGTACATACTACACTGGACCTACTTTTCCTACTTTTCACTTACTAGTTACTACCCACTTACTACTTAGCAGAATATAGTAGAAAGCTATTCCTTTACATTTTGCACTCTTATATCTCTTATCTTGCTTTATATCACTACTTAAGCTTAGTTTCTCATTTCCGCATACGCGCGCGCACTTTCCCGCGCTTCGCGCTAATACGCGCGCGCGTTCCCGCGCCTTTGTACCTTGCGCGCTCCTGCGCTTTCTCGCGCTTCGCTTAAGCGCACACTTCTAGATCCTTGCTGCACTCACTTCCCCTATAGGGTCGAACGCACTTGCTTCTCAAGTAACGCAGACTAGGCAGCGCGCGACCTTACAACTTTTACAGATACAGTCAGGAGCTTCTTTTGTTCCTCATTGTATTGTAGTTTCTACAGCGGTTAGGATCATCACGGGAGCAGTACCATCAGAGATTGGCACGGTCGTGTCGATAGACCATGGTTTTGGTGGCTCCGCATGCATCGAATTAACCCTCGACGGACATCAGGAAGAGCTGGAAGCTCGACTTGAGGACGTGGAGCGCGTTTTTTGGATCGGGGACGCGGTTCGGGTCGTAGCAGGTTCATACCTGGGTTTAGAAGGCCATGTCATTCAAATGGACAAGGATTTGTTTCACCTTTGCCAAGGGGTCTCCATGGAGGAGGTAAATCTTTTGCGCGAATAGAAAATCTACAACTAACGCTTGGTGCATAGGTGCAAGTTTCAAGATATTACTTGGATCGTCGTCACCAGACTTGCACGACACAGTCACATCTACCATTGTATCAACATTTTGAACCTCCCCCTGAGTCTCAATCAATAGAAATCGGAGATTATATAGAAGTTCTTGCGGGAGAACACATGGAGAAGTGGGGCGTCGTGACCTGGTCTTCTATTGGAGGAACTCAGCTGTGGTTCCAGGAAGAGTCTCCTCAGGCGTTGACTTTACGTTCTATGGAGTACTATTCAGGACCTCCAAGTTTTCAGGTTCCTGTGGCATTTGTCAAGCGGACGCGCCTACCCCAGACAGTCAAATTTACCAAGGAAAAAGGTTATGACCTCAAGCCTGGAGATGTCGTAAGGGTCGCACGTGGGCCGGAGTATCAGGCGAAAGGGATCGTGCAGAGCGTTGACTTCCCAAAGGCTCGCCTAACGCTACTTTCTGAGAGTGATCGCTCGCTTGTAAGTGAAATTCAACTTGACACAGGCATATCTGACTTGGAACAGATCGACGTCCCAATTGGATTTGTGACGAAAATACTCAACGTGTCCTTGGATTCTTTCAACAACGTCATCGGCCAAGAAGTGTTCGTGGTTAGAGGTGGCCGAAAGGGTTTCCGAGCCACGTTGTATGGCATTGGCGGTGAGAATTGCACTGTTGCTATCAATGGGCAGGCGCGCACCACACTCAAATGCCAAGACGTTGTAACCAAGTGAGCAGCGCACATACTGTCCTCGTCATTTAGTAATTTTTCATTGCTGTTCAGGTACGGAATGAGATTGAATGGTCTCATGCTAGGAGAATCGGACTTAATAGCATTCTGTGACATGCGAAAAAGATCTTACTTGGCGTTACAACCACGAAGATGCATCACGCCCCCTCCTGTCCCGCTGGCAGTTTCCTCCAACTCGTCTAATTCTATAAGCGCAGCTCACAATCCATCATCATCCAATTGGACTGCCTGGAATCTCACACAGGATATCGATGGTGCGAACTTGAATGATCCGTCATCGGGCGTCGATCTCAGCTCATCGACATCCGACCCATGGACTATTGATGCACAGGACATTCAGGATGGCATAGATGCTAGAGCGGAGCAGCTCAAAGACAATGGTGAGTCCGCCCCGGAGGTATCGCAACAACTTTTGCTCATTTTATTATAGGGCCTCTACCTTGGTTCATGAGCAAGGAGTTTTCTTCGCTATTCCTTACATATCACGCAATGTTTACAGTTTCGCCGAGCTTTGATCACGCCAAGTTTCACAAACGATTCGTATCATCAGCCTGTCCTGATCCATTCTGCGGTGCGAACGGACCCGCACCCGAAGGTTGTGTTGCAGTATCTTGTACATCCAGTCGTGCAGGTGCTGCGCTTGAACATTACCATATCCCTGCCAAGTACCTGAGCCCAGCTCCTCCACAAAAAAGAAAACAAGAATGTTTCATTATAGACGGCGATTATTACGGTCAGATTCTGACTATTTCACAATGTAGCGTTGGTAAAAAAACTGCTCAGTTTACTACTAATGATTCCATTACGATTACCTTACGTTTTGATCAGATATGTCTCGTGCAGCGTGCACAAAATACCATGTAGTACCCATTGTACTATACATCAATTCAACTTTTGGACACTGCGATTCTTATCTGCGTGGTAGTTCATTAATCCAGCCCTTTTCAGGTCATTCAAAGTGGCCATTATGATCATTTGACAACAATGTATTTGTATATCTAACATCCAAAAGAACGGAACATTTGCCAGTGATCCTGCGGATGCAATTCAAGTTCGTCTGACTCCCGTGTGAGGGGACTTTAGAGTGATACTACGCGGTCGTGGATACTAGTACTAATAGAGACTCTACTAGAATAAAGTGCCAGTCAGAATGCCTGCACAAGAACCCTTCCCCGAAAAAGCATTGGAAAAATAATATGGATTTGAACTACTAGTACTAGTAAAAGACTCGGACCCTCATAGATTTGAGTTGATGTCACTGTGACAGGGTGTGACGTTTTGTTGACGATCGTGTACCTACTAGGCACTACACCCGTCGACTCTCGAAAACCTATGGTAGAGCCCAAAAATGGTCAAGGTGTCAATGAGCCCTTAGATATATTTTTCTCACTATCTGTGTGAGAGATGTGGTTTAGAGCTGGGAAGCAGCCTATACAAGATATATCATATATAGCAGCGTTCTGAAAAAGTAAACAAAAATTCAAAATGGAACAGGGGAGGTTCGAACTCAGGCATTCCGCTTGGCACATTCTAAGTTCACAACAGAGTCATACCGCTAAGCTATCAGTGCTTGTTAAACTGCTGTTCTTAATAGTATATCATCACCTCTAGGTCATCTCTTCACAAATTTCGCCAAGTCTTGCAGTGCAGGCATCTTGATCAGTGTAATATCTACCATACACAAAGCAGTGTTTCAGAAATTCAAGTTCTATATGATGCTATTTGCATTCAGTATGCTCAGGGAAATGGAACTTGGTGTGTTTTGTGTAGGATACACATAGTGAATCCTAGCTAGGATGTTCATGTGAGCATTTTCATACGTATATGTCAGAAATTTCCTAATTAGGTTTCGTCACCTTGTAACGTGTTGCAATAATCCAATGACAAATTGAGGTCCCAATAGGTTGCAATAAAAGAGTGTGACATTACATTTATGTTACATTCCACATTACAATATTGAGTTTATGTCACAACAGTGATTCCAATCAGGTTTCAACCAAGTTTGCAATATTGACCGTCGGCTGCAACTGTCCAAGTTGATTTTTTGGTACCTTGAGATCTAGATTCCAAGGCTTATCTAAATATCCCAACTGGGTCTCAACGACGTTGGAATACAAACAGGCAGGTTTCATTCTAATTGAAATATAATTGAGAGCAAGTAAATTCAATTACAAACCGGCACCATCCTCAACAAAACATATCAAATGATACCTACATGTAAGTAGCAATCTGTAGGTAGCGGTCCTACTTCTTCTGAGTTCGCTTTAGTCGGCCTGCAGCCTGCTCACTCGCTGGTCCACTAGATACAGGTGCCAGCATCCCTGCCTTCCTTCCTCGGCCCCGACAACCAGAAGATGGGGCTGTCACTACCACTGGTACATCACCAGGTACTCCAGGAACCTCTGAATCAACAGCCATCACTGAAGGTACAGAGTCTTCATAGGCTGCAGTGGCAGCAGCCGCACCTGCAAATTCAGATGCCACAGGTGGTCCAGGGGCTGGAATAGCCGGCAAGAGGGTTGCAGGATTGAGAGTGGTGGTAGCATTTGCAGGGACAAGCACCACAATGGCTGGTGCTAAAGGGACAATGACCGGTGCTGAAGGAGCGATCATAGGTGTAGTAGGCATGGCCGGTCCAGGAATGTCATTGACAGGGTTGTCATTGGTAGTCATTGGTCCAGGAAAGTCGTCGGATTCCTTATGCCCCGCATTTGTGATGGCCAAACACATCAGATCAGAGGTAAAAACCTTCAGTGTCAGATGTTGTGATATTGGAAGTTGAGGATGATTGCCAGATGTAGGCATCAATCTTTTTGCGGATTGCACAAATATGAGGCTGGTCCTAAAGAGTTACCCACAGCTGCTTGTAGGCCATAAACATGGCAGCATATGGTAGCTGAGACTTCGCACCAACTCCAGCTTTCCTGAATAAAGTGTCGGAAGAAAGGATGAAGATTAACTAGAGAATAATATTAGTCAGATGCTAATCCAGAGGACTGATGATAGCAGAAATAGAACTTACTGCGACCCAACCCCATGCAAGAAGGCCAGGAGTACAGGACATTGTGCCCCATTTTCGAGCATTGCACTTAGTGCGTGGCCAGCCAGAAACATCTACTAGTGAATTCTTTCTGAACATCATGATCCTAATCGCCTATGTAGATTCATTAGCACAAGAATGAAGTGAAGCTTAAAATTACCTTCATGAGTTGTTCCCAGTTACCAAAAACTGTGGACATTGTGGGGTCCATCTCTTGATTTGTGAAAAGGATGGGCGGAAACTTTGATGGCAAAGAGCGGCCACCAGCAGTGCCTGATCCAAGCATCTTCTGGATCTCAGGGATGGTATCCTGCTTCATGAAACTCAGGTCAAAGTAGGACGAATCCAGACCAAAGATGTGCCCTGCCATCAAGCGTAGTTTGCCGATCTCACTGGAGTGTTCACCTTCGAGATGCTGCTCTAGCTGCAATATTCAAATTAGATATCAATTAGTATTTGGTGGGATGGTGAAGCATATAAACTAACGTACCAATGATTGAAAATGAGAAGTTGGTATGAAATGATGGAGGTGATCTGGTAGAAGCGAATACAACTCTGTCACAAGGCAAAGTTCTTTGGCACCCTTGGTTGAGTAATGACTAGGGGATATGATGACGGGCGGAGGGTTTGGCACTGGCAATCTGAGAATGTGATGCTCAGGTGGGAACATCTCAGCAATAATACCATATTTGCAAGCAAAGGTTGAGAGCTCGATGTCAAAGGCCTTCAGCTCGTCAGGAACTTGCGCACTCGAACATCTATGTTGATTGGACGCCAAGACTTTGTTTTTCTCGCCCAGCATCCAATTATTATTCTTGAGAGACTGGTTTTCGAGTTGCAGGCACCAAATGATCTTGAGATGCACAACATTAGAGCTACTAAATCATAGTGAGCGAAGTAAGGCATCATTACCTCCATGTCTCCACCCTGCAAAGAAGCCAATGACTGAGTGGTAATTGATGTGGTCCCTGCCACATAAGATGACAGTACATCTGATTCAGATGCATCATCATACTCTAACTCAGACTCCGAGTCATGGTGCGCAATGGGATGCTGAGGCATCACAACAAGTTGTAAGGTCAAGTAAAACATGGTGTGAAAAATATCAATGGACCCATCACAATTTATAGTCAATCTTGGCTGTGCAACTTGGACCAAACACGAGGAAAGAAAACACGAGGAAAATTACATTGTGAATGATAGCCCTGACATTTAATTAAAATCAGCATGCGGGTGATGTCAATATGACACGAGGTAACTTACCTGTGTGGCAGTTGCGTTCTCAGAGGAGCTGATTCATGGCAAAGGTGTTGAGTAATAGCATTGTCGGCAAGACCTGCTCTTGACATAATAAAGAAGATTGGACAGCTGCCAGGCGTCCAATTTAAACAATGACTTACCTGCAAATTGTGCTTCGATGGTGGTGGTACTGGCACAGGCTCGTGTTTTGGTATACCTGGAGATGATGGAGCTGAGACAATGTGTGCCATACAATCCTCCATACCCGGTGGTGTTGGGGGTGATGGCCATATGAAGGCGAAGGTGTGGGGGCCAAAGTGGCTGGAGGAGGCGGGAAGGGATTTGTGGTAGGTGGAGGGTTTGTGGGGCTACAATACTCCAGGATTTGTTGGAGTAAGTGTCATCACAGATAACCTTGGATGCGAGCATGAAAGCGGATATGAAAAGACAGTCACCCAAAGATCCTCAAGCAGTGGGGAAGCGCACTTTGAGTTGCTGAAGGAGGACGAGGGCAGTGAAGGTTACGGAAGATGAAGGGGGGTACTCTGGACAAGCAAACAGATGCATAATGAAGCGGTCAAATAACTGGGAAACCTGCTCATGACCATAGAATGGGTCAGAATGTCTTGTCATGGGTTGAGTGGACTGAGGCTTATTAGGTGGTGCCTATGTATGTATGATAAGGATATGAATATGACAAGTGGCTACTAAAAACTGACCGATGGTTCAGGATGATAGCCCATTCGCAAATGAGAAACACTCTGGGTATTCTGAAATGGCGAAGGGTGGGTAGGTATTGTAGGACCAGTGTAATACAGCAGCCATAGTGATGGATGATGGTGAGTGGAACGGGCGGTGTGGTGTCGCAAAGGTGATCTGAAAGTGCAAGTGTGTCAGAGTTTGGTAGTTTTAATTAGTTAAAAGGGGACAGGAAAGAATGATGGGGTATATAATTTGAATTAGGGCAGTGTGAAAGCAAAGAAGGAAAATGAATGGAACCAAAACCATGAGCCTGGACCTGGGATATGAAGATAGGCAATTGGCTTCAGATTAAGATGCAGAAGCTGCAACTTGGTTACAACAGTAAACTCAACCAAACAACTTAGCAAGAAATGCAATCAAATGCTGACATAATCACATTGACAATCCATTGAAACACACCTGAACATCAGTTTCAGAACGTTAGCGGTATTTATATTAGTGTAGGGAATAGTGATGTGCACGGCCCGGCTTGGCCTGAAAGCCGCGGCTTCGGCCTGGCTTCAGACGGCCTTGGCTTTCAAAAACTGCGGGCCAGGCCAAAGCCGTCAATGACGGCTTGGCTTTGGCCTGGCTCGGCCTGAGCTGCAGCCCGAGCACTGAAAACAGAAAATCGTAGACTTACAAACATATCTTGCACTTTCAATGCTTTTGAACCTTGCCATTAGTTCCTGCATGTTTGAACGTTGCGCAAAAAAACACATTGAGATCGGCAGTTTTGCTTTCGTGTGTTGGAGCTGTGTCTGCAATAGGTTGGACATTGACATTGATCGGAATACCATCATTGTCGGCTAAATCATCAACCGGCGCAGCTCATTTGTGCGACTGTTTCGCTGCCAAAAGTTTGGTATCAGTTGTATGATTCACGACTCAGATGGCAAATACACTTACGTCATGGATTGATGCGCGCATCTTCACGTTCCTCACCACCAGACTCATTGTCAAGAATTTCTTGAACGCGAGTCCTCTTACCCTTTTCGAGTGCAGCCAAGCTTGAACCTGATGGTGCAGTGTCACCTGGAGGTGAATTCAGGGATATGCTGGGGGTGGTTTGATCAGCACCAGCGTTGGAAGCATGTCGAGAATCAGGCAACTTCGCAGCCTCTGCTGCATGAAAGGCATTGATAGCCTTGGTTTGTGATGGGAGAGCCGCCTTCTCAGAATGTTGGAGAAGGGTGGCGGTAGGCTTGGTTTGGCGGACCGGCCGGTGTGCACAACATTTGTCATCGCTGTCTGTGTGGACAGTTCCAACCATCAGAGACAAGTAGTGAGAGGCAGATATAAAAAATAAAAATTACCGTCACAAATGCATGCCTTTTGTCTGAAAACGTATGTGATGGTTGTCGCCAAGCTTGCGATTTGAAGTTGCAAGAAACTTGCAAAGGAGGGCATATTACTGAAAATGATGAGTGTGCTATCTGCCAACACTGTGACAAGTGAGTTGTGTCGAGCTTGGAAAGAATGTCTGCAACTCACTGTGATTCTTACCACATGAACATGCACACAATGTAAGTGATCGAAAAGCTAAAATGAGACAGAAGTCAGATTTTCAATCAATGATCGTCAAACAGTTTGAGCTTGGGTGCTGCAGGCACAGTTGACTATAAGCCGAGGCCTGAGCCAGCGGCTTTGGCCTTTCATATTCCCAGGCTAGGCCAAAGCTGTCACCAGGCCATGACTTTGGCTCAGCTCGGCTTGGCCTATTCAGGCCCGGCTTGGCCTGGCCCATGGCCTGAAGCCGGGCCATGCACATCACTAGTAGGGAAAGTGCATAATTCAGAATACATGAAATTAGAATACCCCTTGAGCTAGCTCAACTCTGAGCTGAATTTCTGGCGCCTGGACCTGCAACTATTCCCCAGGATCACATCACCAACAGTAAGTAGCAATATTAGGTGCCAAAGCGGCTGGAGGAGGCAGGAAGGGATTTGTGGTAGGTGGAGGGGTTGTCCTGGACGAGGAGGGAAGGATATAAGTTGGGTAAGGTCCTCGACCTATGAAATCCTTCTTGACCATGTCCTTGCTCCAGATACTGACACATCTCGCACTCCATCTGGTTAATGATTCCACAACCTTTCCCAAGGACATCAAAGAAATTTCAATGATACAAAGTAAGCACTCACAAGAACGAACACATCAGCATGAAGACCCTCCCATAGGCCAAGGACCATGATGGTGCAGTGGACACGCCTGAGGAAAGATCCAGCTTTCTTGCACTTCATGTCATGATGGTTATGGTGGTGTAATCCAGCTTCATGGTGGTGATGGTGAGATTCAGCTTCATGATAGTGATGGACCTGCAAGACATACCCATCAGGAAGAAGCTCCTTGATATCGCCCAAATTTTCCTTCTCAGAGGAACTGGCAGGGATGTTTGGTGTAACAAGTTGCGCAAACAAGGGACTAGGTCCAGGATTCAGAAGCATAAGCATGATCATGCAGATGGTCCAACAGCGCAATCATGGCTGGGACGAGCTGGGATCAGAGGGCTGCTTTATTACCTGACATGAGGCGGGCCATTGTGACACAGCATGGACCCTCTGAATCTGAATCAATGAGTTAGTAACAGGTGCTGCGCATCATAAGATAGAAGAAGACTGTAATAGTAATAAGAAATAAATGAAATTGTCCTAATAATGAGGACCGACATTGCTAATAGTCGAAGGCAGATGCAGGGAAATAAGGAGGTTGGAAGTAAGAGTCACTGGCTGCGGATGTCCTGCATTTGAAGGAACATATCTGTATCAATAGTGTCAACAATTAAAAACTTGTCAGGTCTGCTGACATCCTCTACTATCATACAACCCTGAACAATTGAGTGAACTGAGAAAAACTCTGCAGAAGCCCTAGGCTTTCTCTTAACGTGCAAAACTGAGGGTCTTTGTCCTTTCGTGGACAAATGCCAACCAGTCGATCATACGGTCAAACAAGTGTGACAGGATATTGAACATCCCCTACTGTGCAGGTGAAAATCAACACTAGTTTGCCAAAGATGATGCCAGTGTCGGTCTGCAAGATGATGCAATCATAGTGCGGTGAGCCATGAAACATCGGAGTGTATCAAAGGTAGTCTGTGGATACTTGCCAGTCAACAAGCGACTCAAAATTGACTTTAAGGAATCAATATTCCACGATCTAATTCAAAAGGACTCAGAGTAAGACATATCATATCATTTCGGAGCTGCAAACATCATCAACTCACTATGTCACTCGCAGCGAGTTGAATCTGTCGTCCGGTATGCTGTTGGCAGCAAACGCACAGTTCAGAAAGTCGTTTAGCTTGATCCGAAATCTCTCAAATGCTGGATTACCCTGACTACCTGCCTCGATGTGTGTGAATGACATTGCCACCTGCTTTAAGCCAAAACTGAAATGTTGTGCATCAGTTGGTTCCATCGAGTCAACATCAATATCATCGGTCTCCTGGGGTGCAGTATCGGGTCAGTCTTCTGAGTTGGATTTGCTGAGATTCTGAGTGTCAAGGTGATCCAACTTGTTGCAAATGTATTCCACAATCAAGCTGTCATGGTTGTATCAGAGGATCTTAAATTTTTAATTGTTAGTCATATATCAGAGCTCACTTCGCATATATGCAGACTCAGATTCAGAAGTCACTTACCTGTTCAGCGAAGTTTTTGGAATTTGTACGATCTTGATAGGCATCTTTCAATGGGCCATGCATTTTCTTATTCGGCTTGGTGCTGTAGTTTTGAAACACCTTTTGCCTCAATATCATCAAAGAGATGGGCAGAAAGATGTTTCTTGAGGAAATTCCAGGACTTCTTGGAAATCTCTGCTGTATCCTCAATGTATTTCTGACCATACAATTGGATTCATCACAATAAATTAAAACTAGACTAGGGATATGTACATCCATCAATTCAGTGAGCTTTGACAATGCTTCCCGGCCATTTTTGATGGTATCTTCAGTATGGACTTCTAACGAAGCATACATATTAAACTCTACATAGTTTCGGATACAGCAGAGCAGGAGATATGCCTCTGGATCCGTATCATGGTCAAATACATTATGCGCTGCAACTACAATAAGCTAAAAAAATGTGAATGATATATCAAAGTAAACGATCTAGGAGACTCACCTTAGAGATGTCTTCATATTTTGTTCCATCAGAGAACGATACTGGTATAACCTGATCAAAGTGATTCAGGTTTCGCCAATGCGGAATTGATTGAAAGCTGACAATATAATTGAAAACCTACATAAGTACAGCAGAAAAATGACTCACAAGCTGTCAATCTGGACATCAGCCTGTCGACCCAAACATTCAACCCATTTTTGCAATTCAGGTCACTTGTGATCACTGAACAATCTCTTGTCATTGAAGTGGAGTTTATCATGCGATAGAGCCCTGTGAACGTCGGTGTGCTCCAGAATGCCAAATGAACTCTGAAAATGAAAATAAAAAGAGTAATAATAGACTGAGTGAGATAAACATAAAGATAAGAGCAAGACTTACATCGACATCATGGAGGCTCTGAGAACTCAAGATCTGCTCTCTTGCCTCCAATGTAGTAGATTCTCACGCTCAAGCAAGTAATTCCTTGGTTCCTGTGCATGTGCGGAGAGGATATACCTTGAGAGTATTTGAAAGCTCATCACAAGGTACTAGACAGATAGGACAAGGAAATTTGCCCATCAAACCATGAATCAATGCCATTACAGCCCTACAACAGTGAACACATTCAGATGTCAGAGATATCTAATGGTACCTCAGGAGCTAGAAATACATGTACTGTTCTTCATAGTCTGCAGATAGTATTAGTACAATTGGATAGAAGACACGAATAAGATCATCCCAGCATTTTACGGAAGAACCAAACCTCGATAGTGGCACCAGACAGTCAAGAATCTTCATAAACGAGGCATGCCATACCACATTCTTGAAGTTGACAAAGGCGGGCTTTCCTGAATGTTTCTTATCTTCCTTTACCTGTCCTGAGTGTTAATAATGAGACCATCAGTAGTAAGAAAAAGTAGAACAAACAATAGGCAGCCAACCAACAACGTGCCCCCCACCCAAGCCTTCTCCATTGTGAATCGCAATAGGAAGATTAGCACAGCGAGTGACTACAGGGTAGCCTTTTGACCGTATGATGACACTTTTGCTTTGTTGGCATATAAAATGAAAGCAAGAGGTTTTGCATCTGGTGGGATTTTTGACTATGATGATATTCAGTTGGTATATACAGTGCAGATGCTTAACGTGATATTAATAAGAGCGTGACCTACCTGATACTCCCAGATTGCATTAGTGGTCCATGGTTCATGAATGAATTGAACAAACTTCTTGCCGTTGAACTTTGACAGCCTTGGCGCATTGAAGACAAAGTTCGGACCTACTTGTGGATCTTGAAGTAAATTGGTGACCCAGTCCCACAGTGAATGATGAAATAGCAAAAATGTTTGATCAACACCTCGGAAGGGCACAATCACTTCCTCCTTTGTAAACTATTATATGACAGAAGCAAAAATAAGCATAGTATATACAAAGTTAGTGAATAGTACACACAGGTGTCATCTTGAATGACGCTGTGTCCCATGTGTCTCTTACATCTTTGCAATTCTTGAGGGTAAAGAGCTCAATCCTGCTGCGATGGATGAGGTGAATGAGCCCATCCAGCTGCTCATGAGAGAGTCCAGCATCATGAGCAAGTTCCGCAACCTCAAAGTCAATACAAGTGCGAAACGGCTGCCAGGGTGTAGGATCTGCTTCTGGAACTACTGGTGGGGCACCAGGACCATGTCCATAGTCCTCAAAGTGGTACACTTTGGTGGGTCTACCACTATTGGGGTGGTATTCCACTTTGATATTGTCAATGTTGTGCTGGGGTGCAGGCGATGCTGTTCCAGATGATGGTGGGTCACCTGTATTGATGTAAGTTGAAAACATGATGATACAAAGAAATGACAAAGACATACCATTTGAATCGGTCCGCCCCATATCAACATCATGTTGGTAGTCCATCTGATTATTGGGATAAAAATCATCATCCTCCGAGTGATTGTTGATAGCTTGCATCAATCCCCAACAAGTCAGTATTAGTGATTGAGGACAAATGAAAGTGATGGCTTACAAAGTGTTGAACTACTGATGGATGGATGTCTGCCAACAAACACACTACCCTGATGTGCCTGTTCTCGCTCTACAATTAATTAACATTAGTGTAAAATCAAAATGATGCTAGTATAGACATCCCTTGATGAATGGCCCTAGCAAGCTCTAAATTCTCTCTCCTTTGTTCAGAGCACCTCTGGCAAGCTTTTTCGTGTGCTCGGAATCCTTGGCGATGAAAGGATCCGCCACAATAATCACAGGATCATTGCAAATCAGTAGGCATCTATATTGAAACAGGGACAAAGCAGGGGGTGCGGCACTTTGATGGAGAAGTGCTGGAGGGTGAAGTTAGGTATATAAAGCTTGCAGAATCTGAAATATGTAAGTGAATCAGCGGACCAGTAACATTTAAAAGGCACAGATCTGTCAACAAATTAGAACTGTAACAAGTAGAGCAGAAGATACCAACAAGGGCTGAAGTTGTTGATGAAGGGGTGTTAAGAGGTTGGTGCAGCATCTGAACTGACAGTTGGCTACAGTGTTGTAATTAACGTATCATCAAGGTCTAGGTCCGGCATCAATACCAGGACCTATTAAAATAGGGACTGGTTTAGCAAATGTACTTGGTCATCAACACCTGAAAACAGGCTGACAAAAGGACTGGATGAGACTGAGGTGAAAGGGTTGGATAATAGAAGGGGTGAGGTATGATATTCCCTAGTTGAGGGATGCGGATAATACTAGGACTTCCCAACCAGGTTGAACTGTTCTACACTGAGTTAAAAGAAAAGGTAGACCAGGGCAATATTACGAATCAGTTTCAATTGAGTTTCAATGATGCAACTTTGGTATAAACACACACCTGCCCCGCCTTTGGCACAGATCACCAAAAAAGAGTGCTTTGTACTCTTTTTAAGCTCCCTGGCCTCAGCTTCATCCTAATAATTCTGAAGGCTCCTGATGGGCATTGGCTGCATCCTAATAAATTGTGTATTTTGAATAATTTTGAAAATACATTTATGATCATTTCAAAAAAAAACTAAAAGTCAAATCTACCACACCATGTAAAAGTACATAGTACATAAGATCAGTCAGTTCTACATTCTTTGAGTGGGATTTTGACAAAAGTAAAATTACAAAATATGTAACAGTATTATTGAATGCATTTATTTTCCCACTTTTCCTGCTTCCCGTCTCCCGTCTCCCGTCTCCCGTCTCCCGTCTCCCGTCTCCCGTCTCCCGTCTCCCGTCTCCCGTCTCCCGTCTCCCGTCTCCCGTCTCCCGTCTCCCGTCTCCCGTCTCCCGTCTCCCGTCTCCCGTCTCCCGTCTCCCGTCTCCCGTCTCCCGTCTCCCGTCTCCCGTCTCCCGTCTCCCGTCTCCCGTCTCCCGTCTCCCGTCTCCCGTCTCCCGTCTCCCATCCTCCCAGTTTCCTGTTCCCAATTTTCTGTCCTCCCATTCTCCAGCTTTGTTTCCTTTTGATTTATTTCTTCACAACCTTTTGTCATTCATTTCCCATCACCACATATATGTGTTGTCTCCCTGTCTGCAAGATTGTATCATATGTTGTTCCATTTTCAGTTTTATTATTTATTGTATGTATGTACCATAAACAATTACAACAGTGTGTCGAGTAGTGCGCGGGTAGCGGCGATTGAGTTGGCGCTCGAAAACACATGACAAAGCCACGTGAGCTTCCAAAAGAGGTTTAAGCGAGGTAAGCGAAAACCATGTGGCCTTAGGCGAATCTAAGTGTATCTAAGTGTATCTAGGCGAAAATCACATGGCCCTATGCGAAAACCACGTGGGTGCCCGTGTGTTTCCGAAACTGTTCTCCCTTTCTTCTTAAGATATCCCTATTGAGTTTCAATGATGCAATTTTGGTATAAATATCCCTAATGGGTTTTAAGAATAGAACTCATGTGTCGATATTGTGACTCAGTATCAATACAGTTGAAACCGAGTTTCACAGGCACGCTGTTGCAACCAACTTATGACATTTCTGACAAATGTTCCTGTATTTTATGTCTGTCAGAGGCACTATGGTGCAGTGGTAACTATCTCTTGTTACTTCCCTTGTGGTATTCCAAGTTCAGTTCCTGCCTTAGGCATTTTAAAATGCCACAAATGCCACTTTGTTTTGGTTTATTTACTACATTGCTGGCACATTTTGCACAGAACAATGTAGTTTGCTGATGATTGTGATGATCTAACTACTTAAAGGTCTCTTCCCTCCTTCATTGTTCAAGACAACTTTCAAAGCCACATGTCTAGTTCATTCTCTATGTAGGAATGTGATAGACCTGCACGCGATCTCTGAGTTTGAGAGGAAGAAAAACTAGCGATCAACGACATACATTACACAATACATACTTTGGGTCGTGCTGAAAATTGAAATATCATACTGCGAGGTATAGAAGGATATTCACAGAGGTTTCTCATTCCGAGTCGACCTCAGGATACCTATGCATGACGTGCCTGAGCTCCATGTCTGGAACTCTCGGTGTAAACACGATAGGGCAAGAGGCACGTGGTGACACCAGACCCATGAAGCCCATGTCATTTAATGGCTTCGTATGATCTAGAGTGAGCTGGAAGGCCCAAAACAGAAGGATCGAGTTGATCCACACCGATCTGCACCGCTCGAAATGAGCTCAAAGGATTATGTACATGAAAGGATACATTCACCTGTTCACAAGGTGTATGCCGGGGCATACGCTGGGGTAACAGACAATCAAATAGAATATCTCGAAAGATGACCCTGCTTACCGCCGACCAACCCATAAACACAAAATTTGGAGGTACTATCTTCCACCCCTTGCAACCAGTCCGAAAGAACAGATGTCAAACCGCCAGGGAAATGAATATATAGTTTATTTCGAGAAATGGGACCATAAGGACATAGAACATACACAGTAGGGGCACATCGGACAGTCCGCAGACAGTGAAACAAAGTGTTTGTAGGATGGTAGGAACCAGTAAAAAGTTATCATGAACACTAGTTCCGTAACTGCTGTGGTTAGACCCTCATAAGGACCACACACTCGAAGCAAAGAGACCACACAAAGATGCCTGGAGATATTTCCTGCAGAATCCATGCTCTGAGGAATGAGAGGCAGAGCGAGTATGCATGACTTGTGAGGCTTCCAATACTTTCCATGACATCGTTGATTGAGGACCGAGCTGGAACAGCCTTGGAACCAAGGATTGCCTTGGTTCGACAGACCTGAGCTGGAACAACAGAAGGGGAAAGGATAGCAAAAACGACTATGAGTTTGTCACTCGTGAAGCACGAGTTTCAGCGACATAATCATCATGTGCCGAACCCACTCTGGAGAACCAGAGAGGTGCAGTGACTGTAACATAGCTTTGTCCTTAGCATCATCAGCTGACATGTCCTTGAACTCGATGCGGTCCCACAGAACGAAGGCATCATCCACTGGACACGGATACAAGCATCTGTGCCAATAAAGCCTCTAAAATTCGTGAAGCTGACCGCGCGCGTTGGGTGAGAGGATTCGTTCCCTTCTTGAGTAAATCAAGAAAATTCAAGGCTAAGCCACCTCATGTCAGACAACTAAACATTTTTAACATCTCAACTGACCTTCAAGGGGTACAATAATGATTTCATCACGTCCATCTCTGCACCATTTTCTTCACCTGGTGGAGGGCGTGTACTAATACGCTCGCATCGACCACTACTATATCTGCATCCTTGTCACCCCTGACCTCCTGGCTCGATTTCCTGGGCTTTTGCACCTTGGCTTCACTGTGCTCTCTTTCAGGTACAGCTTCAGCGACAGACTTCTTCGCAGACCTATTGCCTGAAGATGGGCGCTGCTTGGGTGTATGATTGATAACACTGCGACGGTTGGTATTACCAAGTCGGCTTGCAGATGACAATGATCTCTCCAGTTTCCAGATGCTGGTCCACGTGTACCGATCCGGGTGTGCCAGTGGCTGCATCAAGCTAAGGTTCATCAATGTCGCGTCACATGTGTGTCATGCCGCATCAGATAGCTACTTACTCAGCATATGCTATTCTACAGTTAATTCGATTGGTCTGCCTAGGGAAGACTTTTCTTCTACTACCATGAGCGCGTCTCTGAACGCTCAACCAGGTATGAGCTCGAAAACAAAACCACATGTCATCATCATGATCAGGATGGCGGGAGCTGGCTAGTGATGGCCAGGTCCGGTTCTGAACCGCGGTTTGAACCTGAACCGTTTTGAACCTGACCAAAGTCCGTTCAAGGTTCGGGCAATAGGGAAGACCGAACTGTTGGTCCGGTCCGTGGTTTGGGGACTTGCAGAATTGCAGAACCAGTTCTGAACCTGTTCGAACCGATGGCAAGTCAGTATGTAGTTTAGTGTAGTACTTATAGGCAGAGATGATGAAATGTTTGGTATCCATATCGTACATAATGCGAAAAGAACAGTTCAGAATGCATCAGCATAAACGAGGGTAGAATCACCAGTAACTGTATCATGGGCACTGGATGAGCTGTGGTGGCGGTGGAATAAATGCCTGAGAAGTGTGCTTCTTTGCGGTTCTGAGGAGTGGGAGGTGGATGTCGTTGGACCGGAGGTCGTGTAGCATTAGCCTAGTGTATGTATGTTAAGCCCAACAAGATCTTTGAATGAAGGTGTTACATACATGGAGTGCAGATTTGTTGGCCTGGCATTGCAAGTCATCGCACCAAAATTGGATTGGGGCTTATAGGATCGATTGCTATGACATTGTTTAGATGTGCATGCAGACAACTCATGGGTCTGACCGGTGCTGCACTGCGCACCAACGTTGGGCCAAGAGTGACGAAGTGATGTTGTGGGGGAGATATGTTAGCCTTGAACAGTGCACATAGCCGTTCATTTGGTTTGGTTTTGGGGTTCAAGTTCACGATGCCAGCACACTGAAGGAAAGCTATAAAAAGTCTTTGCATTGTCAATGAACAGGCAACAAAAGCTACACTGATAAACCCCCAAAGACATTGAAAGCACCAATCTATCCAGCAGCGCAATATCATGTACACCGTGAGCCTTGCTTCTTCCACTGCATCATCAGTATAGTTATCTTGACCTTCGTTCACAGGTCACTGAAGTCCCTGTTTCTCAGCACTGCGGCTCGAACAGCTGCGGAGGTGGCAGCTCGTGAGTCGCGCGGTGATTGTACTCCTGTACGACGCCTGGGTCTGATTCAGAACATGCAGGTGCCAATGCAAGCCAGGAGAGTGCAAGTGCTGAGCATGAGTACTAAGTGAGTTAGCATTTAGTAAGATAGGGCTCTTGCACAAACCACCAACATTAC